AGAAAGGTGAAGAACAAGTCAACTAACCCTGGAAAAAGTGCACAAAGGATCCACCAAGGCCATCCATTGATGCACGAGTATTCTTCTTTGTTTCTTTCTCTTCAAGTCCAGCTGTATTTTCCATGTCTGATTCTGCTTTCTCGGTTTCAGCCATGAAATGAACTGGAAATTCAGGTGAAAGTTGAATATGTTTTTCATGCTTTTTTTGATCATCCAAATGCAAAGGAAGTTTAATTACCTAGTAAGAGATAAATCTGTTATCTAAACTTCTGAAAATATTACACACACAGTTAATTTTTCTCTATGACCAACAAAACAATTTGCAAAACCCAAAAGGTCAATTATGAATTCAGTTTTCCAAGTCTTATATTTCCTTTTGTTTGGCTGTCCTACAAAGAATGCATTTTTTTCTATTAACAGGTTTGCATACTTGCTTCAGATATTGCCATTTGTTCTATACATTTATTAATCTTTCTTTTGTTTTAATTTATAATTTTCTTTGTTTTCTTCTTCCAAATAACATCATCTGTCTAAAATTCATATTGGAATGAAATTAACAAAGATTCGGTATGTACTATATGCAAGGGATAATATTTTAAGTTCAAAATAGATGACGAAATTGAAGAACCAGGTGCAGTGGTTAAGAACTCAGGCTGCTAACCAAAAGGCTGGCAGTTCAAATCCACCAGCCGCTCCTTGGAAACCCTATGGGGCAGTTCTACTCTGTCCTGTAGTGTCCCTATCAGTCGGAATCGACTCAACAACAAGGGGTAATAGTAATGAATACATGGGTGTTTGCTAAGCAATTCTGTCAATTTTCCTCTGTTTAAAGTGTTAATAATAAAGTGCTTGGGAGAAACAATCAATGACCCAGGAAGTGAAATATTCACAAAAGTGAGGAACTAACAGGAAGATTTTCCTGGGAAAAGTAAAGTTATAGGCTATTTTACTTGCATTATTTACTCTCTTGCATCTTTACACATATGCTGTGGGTGTTGGGGGTTTTACTGAATCAGAGTAGTTCTCCAGCCTCCTCCATAATGCTCAGGACTATCAGCCTGAGTTCTGTCCCTAATAGCATCATGGTATAAGATATGAGTTCATGGAAAAAACCATATTATATATTTACATAAGGTTTAAAAACCTAGAAAAGATATTAACAAGGCTCAGGACTATCAGCCTGAGTTCTGTCCCTAATAGCATCATGGTATAAGATATGAGTTCATGGAAAAAACCATATTATATATTTACATAAGGTTTAAAAACCTAGAAAAGATATTAACAAGGGAAAACCGGGAGGCTTGTATTTCCAGAAACATACCATATTCAGTGATGATTACAGACAGTTTAGAATTAAGCAAAGACTTGATCCGCACTCTTGTATCCTCACGAAAGAGAAGCATCTACATTCCTACTTATCCTGCCTTACAATCAGAAGGTTACTCATCTGGCATAATGGCACTATTCTTATTAATGAGGCTCACTCAGCACCTATGCAATATACAGAAAGAGAAAATTCCTGTTGTTGTCTATCAAATAAGACGGCTCACAGACATTTGTATCCATTTATAATACATAATGATCGGTGGGCACTGCAGATAAACCCAAAACCAAATCCGTTGCTGTCTAGTTGATTCCAACTCAGAGCGACCCTAGAGGACAGAGGAGAACTACCCCTAGGGTTTCCAAGGCTGTAATCTTTACAGAAACAGATTGCCACATCTTTTTCCCACAGAGGCCCCATCCTTTCGGTTAGCAGCTCCGAGCTTACCCACTAAACCAATCTAATAATATTACCTTTTTCCATATTGTTTCTTTAAATAGGAAATTAGAGAAAAAGTTTAGTACCATGATCAAATACAAGTAGATTTTGATGAAATCGTATTATTCTATTTGTCCAACAACCACTTTCCTTGACTGTGTAAATTTTAAGTATCACTTGTTTTTATTTCAAATATAAACTCTCTTTATGATGAATATAAAACCAAAAAAAATCAAATTCATTGCCATCGAGTCAACTCTGACTCATAGGACCCTACAGGACAGAGGAGACCTCCCCATAGGGTTTCCAAGGAGCAGTTGGTGGATTCAAACTGCCGACCTTTTGGTTAGCAGCCTAATTCCTGACCACTGCGCCACGAGGGCTCCATAATTAATACTAGTACTATGTAAATTGTCTTTTACGAATCAAATTTAGAATTGATTCTCCATGCCATAAGAACACTGAATTTTAGGTAACGATTAGTGGAAAATTTAGTGAAAAGTTATAGATGCCTTAAAAAAAATTGCCATCATGTCAATTCTGACTCACGGTGCTCCATGGGGTTTTCTTGGCTGTAGTCTTTAAGAAAGCAAATTGCCAGGACTTTCTTCCGCAGCACCACTTGGTGGATTCAAACTGTCAATCTTTAGGTTAGTAGATGAGCACGAACCATTTGTGCTACCAGGGCTCTTACACATTTATAAAAACGTGTTTTCCCTCAGGCTGTGAATCTCTTGGTATTAAAGTCATCAATTTTTTAAATTTTATTATAGGTTTTCAATAATTTTCTCCAGAATTTGAGTGATTTTTTTTTATAGTGCCTTTAGATTTCATTTATAATGGTCTTCCTTTTCAAGCTTATTTGTATCAGTGTTTCTAATTCTTAGAAGCATTTAATAAATTCTGAAGCTTACCCCAAAACAATTGAATCAAAATCTCTGGGCACAGGACCCAAGCAGTAGTATTTCTAAAGCTCGCCATGGGATTCTAATGGACAGTCAGATTTAGCTTAGGATGACACTGTTTCCAGAATGAATAGAAAGGCACATATTCACATGTGAGTTATTTTCTTAATAGTACACCTAGACTGCTCCAACAAGATATTTCAGCAAAACATTATAATGGAATTAGCTAAAAGAAAAATGTTAACTAATTTTATTCAGAATAGCTAGGAAACAGGAAGACTTTCACATAAGAAGGATACCTAGCTTTTGAATTTTAGGCCAAATCCATGTAAGTTTCTTGGAAATTTCCATATTTAACAGTTCCATCAATTAGGTAGGTAGATAGATAGGTAGATGACAGATGATAGAGAGAGAAAGAGATAGGTAGGTAGGTAGGTAGGTAGGTAGATAGATAGATTTGGAAAAAAATTAAATTCTTAGCTAAGGGAGGAAAAATCATGGCATTTTGTATTACAGGCATCCTGGAAAAATGTAATCAAGAAGAGAAAAACTGGACATATAGAACACAAATAGACAAAAAATGTATTGGAATGCTTTATACTTCATGTATGTCTTCATTTTCTCTTTGTGTACCTGCTGTTTAATTTTGCAGTCTAAAAAAGATTTATGCAATCACATGTCTGCTACAAGACTAGACTAGACAATGGACAGAATGCTGAATATACACAAATAAATGATGTGTGCTCAGGTGGGTATTTTATTTTTGTTTTCTCTCTGAGGTAAAAAGAGACATTTTGAGGTAAACAAGACAGCGTGCTTCAAAGTGGTCTGGCAAAGGGAGACACTTTTGTGAAGGTCACCTGTATCCCACGGCAATGTGGGTCATTAGCTGGCTTTTGTATGAACACACGTGTGTCTCATCAACAGATGGCAAGCAATGGAGGTAGAGACTACATCTTATCTCTGGTATCCCTAAAGCAGATAATGCCCAAGACACAATAGACAGTAAGTACTTTTGTTGAGGAGACATACCTTAGCCCTGTGCCCAAGGTTATGAGACTAAGGAGACAGGCTCCCTAGCAACAACAGAACTGAAGACCTGGGGACTTGGTGAGCAGACCTGGCTCGTTTTTAAAATAGAGGCAGGGTTTGATTGAATTATCTTTAAGTTTCCTGCTAATTCTACAATTTAATTTCTTATTTCTAGGCATGAATTTAATCTGCATTATCAGAAATCAACACTAAGAATGATTTTTACAATTTTATGATACTTACTGAAATTTTCAATAACAGGAAAGAAAGCCAAAGGCTAGACAGAAACAGCTTTGAATATTTTTCAATTCTTTTTTGACTTACAAAATCATATTGCACACCTGAAAATAGAGATTGCACAGCCATTGGTCCAAGTCCAGGCAAATCATATCTTCCATTGTCCTGAAGTTGCTAAATCTCTGATCATACTGTCCTCGGAGAAGAGGACACTTGAATTTTCCTTCCACTACGTCAAAATTGTTACCACACAAAGGGAAGGCTGCCCAGCCCACAACCTGGTCAAGGGAAGCATAGGTCCCATGAAGGAGACAGAGTTCAAACAGGAAAGCTGTGCCAGGTTTCACATCTTTTGTAGGAGGAAGTTCCTAGAAAAGATATTAACAAGGGAAAACCGGGAGGCTTGTATTTCCAGAAACATACCATATTCAGTGATGATTACAGACAGTTTAGAATTAAGCAAAGACTTGATCCGCACTCTTGTTGTTTGCCCTTATAAACTCCCCTTTGAATGTATTTACATAAATAATCCTTCCAGCCCAAGTAATTGAGTGACCATGTTGTTAGTTGCCATATTGTTGGCTCCAACTTACGGCGACCCCATGTACAACAGAACAAAATGTTGCCTGGTCCTGTGCTATCTTCACAATTGTAAGCATGTTTGAGTCCAGTAGGCCAATATTCTGTTCTGATCCATAGTTTTCACCAGCTAATTTTCAGAATCAGATTGCTAGGCTTTTCTTCCTAGTCTGTCTTAGTCTAGAAGCTCTACTAAAACCTGTCCACCATGGGTGGCCCTGCCGGTAATGAAATACCAGTGTCATAGCTTCCAGCGTCACAGTCACACACAAGTCACCACAGTACGACAAATTGACAGGTGGGTGGTGGTGAGCAACTACACCACCATGAAAATGTAACCCAACAAAAATATGAAATTGTCCCTGCCAGTTCAAGATTCTGCACTTCGTTTTATGAGTTTTAGGAATCAAGTTTGTAACATGTTAACTAGTGTGGTTTTCTAGACTTTCACTCCTTTTTTGCTTGAGCTATTGTATAGCTATTTCTATCCTTTGTCTTAATCATCGTTCTACATGCCTGTCATTCATCTTTGTATCATCCATATACCCAGCACAGGTGCTGTGCACAGAATACATGCTTTTCACAAAAGTGGTTGAACAAACTATCAAACTCCAGAGAAACTAATTCTAGGCATAAAGATAATTCGG